ATATTATTAAGATTTCCTCGGCACAAGTAACTTTAATAGTATTACATGAGCTAGTAATTACGATGTTTTCTCATCCTATGATAGTGACAGAAGTATCTCTGTAAATATCGCGTGAGATATTTCATTGGAAATGACATTTACCAGCCCTGTCTACAATACGTCCCATATAGTATGAATTTTCAACAATAGAAAAACAATAAAATTAATGGTAAATGGCTCAAGTATGTTCAAGAAAGAGTGATTTTTGTACGGATCAGATAAATAACAACTCCCTTGTTCTATTGTAGATATCCACATTTACGATAGATTCTATTGTGGAACAATAAATTTATCAGTGTCCATTGTACATTAAGTACAATAAATTCTATTGTATGATTACAACACATTTCATTGTTCCTCTATCGTTCTTTTTTTTTACGGGATATTATAGTTTCTTTCACTATAAATTGCTGTAAATCGCTCAGCTTCTCGGGTTGTGACGAGACTGGCGACGTGTGGTCATGGATCGAGTAGAGTAGATACGACTTCTTCAAACAGTAGAGGACATCAAGGCGTTAGCCTGATTGGCAAGGGTATGTCTATTGTAATAAAATGAGTGATCCAACTTTTATAAATGCAACGAGAAAACAAGCTCTTGACTTAACTTTATATAGTCCTCCGATTTCTGACAAAATCAAGTATCTCTCTATGTATATTATCTGTGACGTTTCCGACTATCTAGAGATGAATAATAGGAAAACAGCGAAGGATCTCGCTCCAAAATTAAAACGTTGCAAACTTCTTAAACGATCTCACTACTCTCCTGATAATCATGAAACCACCCTAAGCGCTCAGAACTGCCCGAAGATACGTAACTTCCCTTAAGATCTTTATACTCAACTGAAGATATGGCAACTCCAGTAAAGTACTGCAATTTTCCAGAAGTTAATGAAACTGCCCTGAAGTTCATGCAATTTTCTTGCCATCTATGGAATAGTAGCGGCGCCAAAGGTGTAGTAGTAAGCGTGATTACCTCTCTTCCCAGCAGGCCTGGGTTCAATCCCAGTCGGCACCGGCAGGATGTTTTGAGGCATAGCATCTCTGATCATGCCTTCCTTCGGAAGGAGAAGCGGAAGGGAAGTAAAGCCGTTGGTCTCCGGTCTATTAATTGATAGATAGATAGGTACGGTCCAGGTGTGGGAGCTGCCTTCCTGGCGTCGGTAGCATTGGTACTCAGTCCGGAAAGCAAGATCGATGGAAAACAGAGTGTTGAAGCGGTTCCAGGAGCGGTTGACGTTGGACCACGGCAAAGGAGCTGGAAGAAAACTGGGACCGGAGAACAAAAAGACGGAGGGAAAGGTGAAGCGGATGATTAAAGCAAATCCCAACGTCTCAAGCCGTGATTTGGCTAAAAAGATCGGCATGTCGCAGAGCTACGTCCAGAATGCAAAGAAGAGAGCTGGACTACATACATACAAGGTACAGAACTTCCCAAACCGCGATGAGCGGCAACAATCGACGGCTAAAACTCGGGCACGGAAGCTCTACGAGAAGATGCTGACAAAATATGGCTGCTGTGTGATGGACGACGAAACGTATATAAAAGCCGATTTTAAGCAAATTCCGGTGTTGGAGTTTTTCACCGGCAAGAGCAAGTTCGATGTGGACGACAAATTTAAGAAGAAGAAAATGTCGAAGTTTGCCTCCAAATATCTCATTTGGTAGGCCATCTGCTCTTGCGGACTGAGGAGTGAGCCTTTCGTGACAAAGGGCACAGTAAATGGCGAGATCTACAAATCTGAGTGCCTCGAGAAGCGCCTTTTGCCGTTCTTGCAGCAGCATGACGAAGCTCCGCTATTTTGGCCAGATTTGGCATCATGCCACTATTCTAAAAGTGTCCTGGAGTGGTATGAGGCCAATTCTGTCCATTTTGTTCCAAAGGACATGAATCCGCCAAACTGTCCGGAGCTGCACCCGGTGGAGCAGTACTGGGCAATAATGAAGCGGGAACTTCGGAAGAGCAAGAAGACAGTCAAAGACGAGAAGGACATGTTAAGAAAATGAAAAAAAAAAACTGAGAAACTGGTACCGGATGACACTGTAAAGACTTTGATGGAAGGCATCAAGCGAAAATGCGTTCAATTTTACACTCAAGGCTCCATCGATTAACTTTTCTTTTGATTTTTGAAGTAAATATATGTATAAAACTACTCTAAAATTTTGGTTTGATTCTAAACATTAGAAGAAAATTGGCATGACATTTTCGGTGTCGCAATAATTTCGTGTTCGCCCTTTATAAAGATCTTAAGAGAAGTAACGTGTATTTGGGCAGTTCTGAGCGCTTAGGGCGGTCTCATCATTATCAGAAAAGTAGCAAGATCCTTAAAAAAGTTTGCAACGTTTCAATTTTGGAAACTTCTTGAAGGGTCTCGCTGTTTTCCTGATAGTAATTTTTAGATATTCGGAAACGTCACAGTATGTTATCTGTCACATGTGCGTCTATCTTGAAAACTGTCGCTTTAATGGCCCTTCGCTCATTTTCAACTTCTATTCAATTTTCATACTGCCGTACTCTAACGGAACTATCCACCTACCCTCTTCTAAAGAACATTCTCTAGCTAATAAATCATCACACTAAAGCTTCATGTTAGCATTTCCAACCAACTCCGAAAAAAGATGGTTTGTTCAAGAAAAATGAACAATAATACCAAGTCAAATCGACCCAGAGCGAAAAGTAACCGCAAGTCAGGCCCATTAGAAAAAATAGGCTTTCATTAAATAAACTATAAAACAAAAGTCACAGATATGTTTTAAGGATTGCTTCTATAGAATTTAAAATGTTAGACAACAAATCGCATCATGAGATTTGTCTCAAGACAGATTTTGTCCAATTCCCCTAGGGTATCTGGAACATGTCCAAATGTGGCCAATATAGTTCTTACGGTACTCAGTTTGACCGCCAACGGATATGGCTTTGAATTCTCATGTGATTTAATATATCCCTTGATGGATTTTGATTTAAAAAGGATTTACCACTTCCCCGGAATTCCTTGAACATGTCCGGGTGTGGCCAACATGGTGCTGGTCACTCATTGTGGCTTTTGTTGATCTTATTTTTGAATTCTCATGTGAATTGATTTATCACATGGTGGGTTTGGCATGTTTATGAAAACCTCTGGTCTGTTGCTCACCAGAATATGTTCCGGCCATTGCTCTGAAACCAGCGGACCAAATCCAGAAACATTCAATAACGTTCTATGGGACCATGGTATCTTTCTACTGTTCAATACTGTGCTAAACTAATGCAGCATCTTCATGGAATTGTGACTGACTTGCGGTTATTTTTCTCATTGACGTTAAATGTAATCGCAAGTCAGTCCCCCTCGGATTTTGTCAATAAAATTAAAATTTCACGATATTTTATCCAATATGTTGTGGTAAACAAAGATGCATTCTATCACATTGTGCATTTATTTTTAAATTTGTCCCTCCAAAATAAGTGTAGAATCAGAAAACTTGTGAAATTTTTGAACGCCGTTTTCTCCAATTATTTAGTGATGGGACTGACTTGCGATTATGGGCAGTATAGTTCTAAGAGATCCAGGAAAAATCTATGAACAGGGACTTGAATTTGAATGTAGCTATCTCATCAAATCGTCGGTGGAACAACTCCCAATCCATTCAAAATAAATCTGGAATGATGGTAAGAATTTGTTGCGATATCTCTTTCATTTTCACGGTATCCTAATACCTAATGTGCTGACCCAAGTATCCATCAAGCTTGATAAGGCCCTTTTTTGCAATCTAAAGCTGATATAAGTATGATATTAAACATGGAAGCCCTATATTAATAATTTACCCAACAAACAATTTGCGTTGATCAACAGCTGAAAAAGCTATTTTTTAGCTGAAGAAGCTTGTTTTTGCCTGAATAAGCTCTTATTCAATATTCAATGATTGTTGGGTATTGAAAAAAGGACCCTTATCGGTTTCTTAGCGGGCTTCGTGGTTAAGTAAAAATTAAAAAAAAACAGGAGTGAATGGGGGAGTAAGGGGGAGACACAAATTATATCTTGAGTGCGGCTATGTTGAAACATTAGGTTGCCTAAATAAAATCAAATTAATTAATTAATTATGATATGATGAGTTCATAGCAGTGTTCATTTCTGGGTGGAACTATTTCTGAATATTTGTTTTTTAATTTGTAATATTAATTCTACATTTAAGGGCACTGATTCATTTTATAGGCAAAATGCATATATATATAGATATTTCTGCGCAGAATCAGTTTCTATCAAATTGGTTTTTGGAGCTGGTTACTAATGGAGTAACCATGAGTAACTTCCATGACATGGCTGCTGTACAGTTATTTATTATATAATCAGAGGAAATTCGGTAATGTATACCGTAAACTGTATCGTAATAATTTTAAACTTCATGAATATGTTTACATGATATTTTTCATCCATGAAATGCTCTAAATTACCCATCAAAGCGTGAGAAAGGAATGGTGTAAAATTGTCAATTGGTATGACGTATTTTTTTTTTTACAAGAGAAAAGGACCTCACATAGCAGCAAAAATCAGCTCGTATTTTGGCTAGACAATTTGGCTTCAGTATCATCCTAGAACACCATATATGAACGATATCGCAAATGGGGCAACCGTATCACGTTTACCTACGATGATAACCCGAATAGGTTGATAGGCACTTATTATGACTATTTTCTATGTGGGATGTACCTACTAGCCCTGTTAGGTAATACTATGGAATTTCACAACAGTTAGCAACTCAAAATGTGATCTCGGAACCTTTGTTTATTGTATTCTAACTTACATCCTATCAGAAACTATAAGCATGGTAATTCAGTACGATTCTACTGGAGTACTGGAACGAAACCGGAGTTCCAGTTAAATAAATTACAAATAAATTACTACCGCACTGTGCTCGCATCAAACGATCGAAATACTGCCAACGCAACTGGATTATCCAATTTTTCCTGCTAAAAAATTCGCTTCCTCATACGTACTCCCTAATGCGCTTCAATAACAGCGTATACAGTTGAATTTACATCACCGTAAATGATCGAGATTTTCTTTTGTTTTAATTGTTCATTACTTTCAACACCTAATGCTACTACTTTTAGTTTGTTTGACTATTTACACAACTCTCTCACTCTCCAACGATTGGATCACCTAGGAGTACTCTTTTCCCATGACTTTCTCGATCCAAGGCACAAATTTCTGGATGTTGGTGTACACCCCGGGTAGATGTTCCCGTCCGCATCCGATCCCCCAGGACACCAGCCCGATCAGCGTCTTGCGTCCATCCAACGACAGCGTCAGCGGTCCACCGGAGTCGCCTTGGCAGCTATCGCGGCCTCCCTCCTTGTAACCGGCACACAGGAATACATCGTGGATAACCTCCCGCCGACCAGCCGCCCGGAACCACCGTTGGCATCGCTCGTTCGGTATCACCTCTACGTCCACTTCCTGCCGAATTTGAAGAATTCAAGTCATTAGTCTTAGCAGTAAATTTGGAAATGATCGAAACGAACCTGCAGCACCGAAGGAACTGTACTCTGACCATGTCGCGTTCGACCCCATCCAGCGACGGTGGCCATTTTGCCCACCAATTTAGTCTGCTTCGGTGGAAGGCACACCGGCAGGATGTGCTGCCGGAAGACTACTTTGCGATCCAATTTCACCTTTAAACAAAAAATCGAGAATTCAATTTGTTAAATTCGAGAACGCAAATTTCGAATTAAGCTCACCAAAGCAAGATCGTTCCGGAAATCGCTCGCCGAATAACTGGGATGCACTTCCTTCCGCTCAATGTTGTACTCTTCGTGGTTTAATCGTTCGTCCTGATCCCGAACATCCCATTCGCCCAGCCTTACCTTCAGATTACTGTTTGGAGTTCTAAAAAGGACGCAACATTAGCGAAATCAGCGCAAATCGGAAATAAATAAGACGAATTGATGGTTTACGTTGCAACGCAGTGAGCCGCCGTTACGATCCATCGATTGGACACCAGAGCTCCTCCGCAGCTGAGCTTTTTCGTCAGGAAGCCCGTTTTGATCAGTGCCGCCTGCCAAGGGTGCGTACCGAAACCGGTCGAGTGGCCACCCACTATCCGGTTAGTTCTGGTGTACAGTTCGCCACAACCTGTGAAACGGAAAGTTAGATCTTTAGATCGTCGTCAGTAAATGAGGCGGAAGTGAGGTGATACACTGAAAGATGTGACTTAACCTAGAAGGTGCCCAAATGTTTGGGATAAGCGTGATAGCGATAGATAGAGAGCATTGGTTGGTGCTGTAGGCAGACAAGTGTGTACTACGCAACTACGACGGAAGATATAAGCGTGGTTCGTGAAGACGAAAATGGCGGTGCATCGGTGAGGGATCAACTGGAATTCGGAATCGCTACGCTGGATCTACTGGAGGACTACTAGAGGCAAACTAGAGCTGCAAAATACCGTTCTCGATTCCATAGCCGTCGTCCTCTTGCTGGTTGGAACCTGGCCCCTGGAAGTTGAAAACGGACGGTCGCTGAACCATGGGACCTGCACTGTTGGAACCCCCATTACCGGTGCTGCTGAAGATCGAACCGCTGGCCGTGGGTCGTGTTCCGAAACTGAACGGTCGATCACTGTAGATGGCACTGGCCGTGGGTCCATGCTGGTTTTCGTCGCCAAAGTTGACCGGAGGCTGTGGCCGGTGGTGGTTCTGCGGTGGGAATACCGAGTTCAAGCCACTACCCAGGTGATTGCTTTCGTAGCTCCATTCGGGTGCGTTGGTGCTAGTCACCGGATAGAGATGGTACGGTGGCTTGGAGTGGTAGCTCCCGGAGTTGGAGTAGATCGGGGACTGGGATGGTTTTGCAATTGGTGGGCGGCTCTGGTGACCACCGGAGCTCGAAGAGTGTGGCGAGGAAGATGACGGTGATGGATAGAAATCGAACAGATTGATAATGTCACCTAGATATGATGATATTGGAGCAATTGATTTTAAAGTTTGAGGAAGGTAGTTAAGTATCACTTTATACGTTTAATCACAAGTGGCTGTGTGTATTGTATTGTGTTGTTGTTCGACAAAATGTTGTGTTATCAAAATATAACGAATAAGTGAGTAAATTCGTTCGAAAAGATACACGTCTCGTATGTTCAATATCATCGTAACTGAGGCTCGGTGGTAAATTGTGAATTAAAAAAAAATATTGTAGAAGTGCTACATATTTTATATGGTTTAGTTTAGTTGAACGTTCAAGTGATCTTAAATGCGACAAACTGGAATTTTTATTTAGGTGTCACCAACCGACTAATCAATCAAACTTTACCCTCTCTGAATTCCATTACGAATTGAATACATTTATTTGTGAAGCAGAACCGCATGTCTAGTATTAAATCTATAAAAGTCACTTCCTCTTTCAATTCTATCACAACAATATCGAGGTAGCAAACCGATAACTACTTTAAAAATTAACACCATAGTCAAATATACAATTCCATGCATCACCGACAACCAATTTAAGGCGTCTATCATCAAAGTTGAGGATGTGAATCTATTACATCTCAAAATCAAGCGCTGTAATCTCGATATTTGTGTTTCATTGGCCAGAAATAAAATGGAAGGGCAAAAGTCTAGAAGAGGAGAAATGATTGATTTGTATAGCTGTATTTTACTGGCAATAGTTTGATCGTTTTTCAGTCGACATAGAATTCCATACTTCTTGGCAATTTTCTTGATGGCATTGTCAATCTGAGAGTTGAACTTAAGTTTGTCATCAATAATCGCGCCAAGATATTTAACCTCCCCAACGCAATCAATGGTCTCATCATCAATTACAACAGAGACGTTCTCAGATACTCGATTCCACGAAATTATCATAAATTAAGTTTTACTTGTATTCAATTCCAACTGCTTATACTTCAACCATCTACTAAAAGAACAAAAATCTTCATTCAAGATTGAAACGGCATCATCTAAATCCTTAGCATCAATGAATAACACAGTATAATCTGCAAAAAGATTAATGTTACAACATCGTAAAACACGTCGCAAGTCATTAATATACATAATAAATAAAAGGGGCCCTAATACACTTCCCTGGGGCACTCCAAGGTTATTCCCCACGGGACTGGAAACAGAATCATTGAAAACAGTCCGTTGAGTTCTGTCAGACAAATAGCCTTTAAACCATTTATATGCAGTACTCGCAATTCCAAAGCGCTTGATTGATTTTAACAATAAGGGCCTAGAAAAAGTTTCAAAAGCTCGTTTTAGATCCAAAATACAGAAGCAATCGTATTTTTACACTCCAATTATTTTTCTACTTCATTTATACCAAATTCAACGCGGTTTCACAACCCGATATCCCGATTGTTCTGGTATCAACAAACTATTACTATTTGAATACTCCAACAGCTGGCCTTTAAGGTTCAATTTACTTTGATGCTTTTTGGAAAATTTCAAAAGCAGTTTTTTCCAACGCATTATTTCAGATTGCAAAAAGCTCGCACTATTCGATTCCTTTTGATATTTTACACAAAATGACGCGAGCTTTTTGCAATCTAAAATAATGCGTCGAAAAAAACTGCTTTTGAATTTTTAAAAAATGCATCAAAGTAAATTGAACCTTAACAACAAGTTCTAAAATTTTCTCTTATGTGTGCAACATGTTGATGGGATGAAAATCTTCGGCTTTAATCGTTCCAGCAACTTTTCGAATAGGAACCACTAAGGATACCTTCCAAATTTTTGGTACATGGCCAGTTTCAATGATTCATTAAGAAGGTCCAGCAAGATGTGGCCAATTACATGAAAGTAATCTTGAATAACTCTAGATTAATCTTTAAAATTTGTCGAACCTTTTAACGGAATCCCTTTATGAATAGCTTTGAGTGTGTTGGTTTATTTCTTTTAAATTCCATTATAATTGCTTATCTTTTGACAGATAAGTGTATTTCGTCTACTACTTGCAGACTTCATCAGTGCCAAGTGCCAAGTGGTGTTGAGTACTTGGCACTGATGAAGTCTGCTAGTAGTAGACGAAATACGCGTATCTGTCAAAAGATAAGCAATTATAATGGAATTTAGAAGAAATAAACCAACACACTCACAGCTCTTCATCTAGAATTAACATTATCTACTCCCACCGAATTTCCTAATGAAAATCAATTTAGTTAGTTACACTGATAGGCAAAATAAAGTGCCCACCCCATCATTTTTGAAATTTCTCTCATTTATTTGGTTCAAATTCAAATAAACACACCGTAGTCTGTTTCGATGTCTTACCTTTATTATTCTTTTAAAGTTACACCTATGGAATACTGAAAATATAAAGTTTTACTTGAAGTAAAAGAAAATCAATTTGGATTGAAAAAGAAAACAGTGACAAAAAAAAGTGCCCACTTCAAAAATCGGTATGTTTTCGATAAGTTTCCATCGGAAAACCCCTCGATTGTTTTTGTTTTGAAAGTTTGACATGTATTGAAGCAAACGGGTGGAACTGGTGCATTTGTACACGTGATCGCATTTGAATCAGTTGAAAAAAATGGAGGACGTAGTGATTTCGAAAGCAATTCCCGTGTGTATCCGAAAATTGGTTGTTCGTGATGTGCAAAACGGTGAATCGCACCGGTCTGTCGCTAGGAAGTACAATATCAGCAAAACAGCGGTCGGGAAAATTCTGCAGAAAATGAAATCGTTCGGATCAGTGGTGGATCGCCCTGGCAGAGGCAGGATGCGCAAAACGGATGCGAGAACGGACACCAAGATCATGCGTGAAGTGAAGAAGAACCCGAAGGTAACTGTCCGCGAGATCCAGGAGGCTCTTCAGCTAACAGTTTCCAGTCGAACTGTTCGTCGCCGTCTCGTAGCACAGGGGTTGAACAGCAAAGTTGCTCGGAAGCGCCCATTTATCAGCAAGGCAAACAAAGTCAAACGGCTTAAGTTTGCTAAGGAGCATGCTGATAAGCCCCTAGAGTTCTGGAAAACGGTTCTCTGGACGGACGAATCAAAATTCGAACTGTTCAACCGGAAGCGACGGGTTCGTGTGTGGTGTAGATCGGGTGAGGAGCTTCAGGAGCGCCACATACAAGGCACGGTGAAGCATGGAGGAGGAAATGTGATGGTCTGGGGGTGCTTTTCGTGGGGTGGAGTGGGAAGCCTGGTGAAAATCGACGGGATAATGACGGCAGATTCCTACATCGACATCCTGCGGGAAAATCTGGAAGTTTCGCTGATCCAGACGGGCCTTGAGGAGAAATTCGTATTCCAGCAGGACAACGATCCGAAGCATACTGCCAAGAAGACTAAGTCTTTCTTCCGGTCATGTCGAATTAAACCACTGGAATGGCCTCCACAAAGCCCGGACCTCAACCCCATCGAGAATTTGTGGGCGATTCTCGATGCCAGGGTTGACAAAACTGGTGTTACCAATAAAAATAACTATTTTGAAGCCCTGGAGCGCGCCTGGGAAGAACTAGATCCACAGCACCTGAAGAATCTAGTGGAGAGCATGCCGAAGCGCCTGCAGCTGGTCCTGAAGGCCAAAGGAGGACACATTAACTATTAGGCTGGTATTCTTTTACTTTATTTTATGTTTTCTGGAGTTAAAATGCAGTGGGCACTTTTTTTTGTCACTGTTCTTTTTTACACCCATTTTGATTTTTTTTTCTTCGAGTCAGTCTCTTCTTTTTATCTGGTATTCTATAAGTGAAACTTAAAAAGAATATAAAGAATAAGATATAAAAAATACTACAGTGTATTTACTTTAATTTGAACCAAATAAATGAGAGAAATTCAAAAAATGATGGGGTGGGCACTTTATTTTGCCTATCAGTGTAAATAGTTTTCTTTATTAACGAGACTTTCAGCCTTGGGCTGGTTCGTCTCGTGCATAGTTGGTGGCTTTGGAAGGGAGCCCCCCTAATTACAAAGTTTGTAATGGGATGGGACACCAGAAGGGAGTTCCTCTTGTTACAGAGTTTAGGGTGGAGACACCATAAGGGAGCCTCCTAATAACAGAGTTTAGAAGGTGGGATCCCCAGAAGTGAGCCCTCTCTAAAATCATAATTATAGTTTTATCATAGTTGTTTCTGGCTTAGTTGCTGTCATGATTGTCGTTCGGTTGTTGTTGTCGTATAAATCATCCGTTGGCGTTATCCATAAGAGAAATAGAATGTAGGTCAGGTATTGTCGGTCGTCCATGTTCGATTTCAGGTGAGAAGCTAAGGTTGGTCAATGAAAAGCAAATAACTCTAAGTTCATCCAATGTAATTGAGTGAGCTGATCATTCACGGTTCATTTTTAAGGAACCCACTCACTTCACAAGTCTAAGCCATTAAATGCGTCGCTTAAAGCGTAACTCTGCTTTCCAAAGAAGTACTAATGAAGTGGATGCCAGTCACGCATTTTGAACAGCCACCGCGCGTAAGCCAAAATGTGCGAAATACTAAATTGCCTACTGATAGATTGCAAACTTCTGAATGGCATGTAAACAGAGAGCGGCTGAGAGAAACTGTATGGAATAGAGAGATATATACGCCACAAGATGTTACATTACTACTCGTACTATTCAATCAAGCGTATTTAGTTTTTTTTACTGATATCCTTCCTCCAGCATATGTGCTCTCATCTCTCATTATTCGAAAATCGAATTGCCGCTCTCCAGCTCCAACTCATCAGATCCGAATCGTTGACCCGAATCAATCGCTGGAAGCGGAAGCAAGCAACTATTTCAGTAATCTGATTCGTCGAGCTCATCGGATCCTTTATCTCTGGATTTTTTTGTACGATTCGACTCTGAGATCTGAACCTGAAATCGGAGCTGATGAGATAGAAACTGATAATCTGATGAGCTGGAGCTGGAGTTGCAATTAATTTTTCATACGGGTCATCGTCTGTTTACTTTTGCGTGGATCGTCACCTTCTAACCGAATGGTGAGAGGAAATCTGCTGGATTGAACTGCACTTT